GGTGGTGGGGAGGGTGGCAGCTGAGAGGTGCCCGGTCCCGGCCCAGCCCTTCCCACTGCCTGGCCCGTGAGTCCAGCCAAGGGGGGGGCTCTGGGTGCAGGAGGCACCGACCGGTGTCCCCATAGGGCCCCTCCCAAGGCCCCGGGAGCCGCTCTGAGATGCTCCTGGCTGAGTGGCTCCCCGAGCCTCGGTTTCCCGCACCTGTCAAATGAGGGGTGCAGGAGCCATCCCAGGCCAGGAGGGAAGGGGCTTCGGGATCACCGTGGGGTCCCCACAGGTGGCCATCGACTTCACGGCCTCCAACGGGGACCCCCGGAACAGCTGCTCCCTGCACTACATCAGCCCCTTCCAGCCCAACGAGTACCTGCAGGCCCTGGTGGCCGTGGGCGAGGTCTGCCAGGACTACGACAGGTGCGTCCTCCGGCCCCCGCCCCCCAGCTCTGACTCCGGCTCCGGCTCCGGCCTGGGCAGGGGATGGGCATCACCGACGTGTCCACCCATCAGAGCAGCCGCCCAGGCCAGGCGTGCATGGGCCACGGTTGGTGACAGCCGGGTGGCTGGCTCCACATTGCGGATCCAGGTGGAGCAGGTCAGAGACCGTGTGTCCACGTGGGGCTGGCCTTCACCACAGGGTCCCATTCACCCTTCACACAGACACCGGGGCGGGGTCTGCGTCCACTTCACAGAGCAGCAAACTGAGGCCATGGAGGGGCAAGCTCCTGTCTGGGGCCCAGGGGGCAGGAAGCCAACCTTCACCGGGTCGGTGCCTCCCCAGCAGGTGCCAGGCCTGAGCAGGGGTGGGAGGAGGTGGCCCGGTGGCGCTGTCCCCACCTGCCTGCACCGTGTCCCCGTTCCCCCAGGTTGGCTCAGGGCCTGGCTGGGTTGGAAGGGGTGGCACGGAGTTCTGTGAGCCCCACTCGCACCCGGAACCAGGAGCCCTGTGTGACGGGCCCCCTCTCTTCCAGCGACAAGAGGTTCTCTGCTCTGGGGTTTGGAGCCCGGATCCCCCCCAAGTTTGAGGTAGGACAGCCTGGGGCCGGGCCCTGGGCGCCTCCCTCTGTGCCCCTCCTGGCAGAGGGCCCCTGGCCATGCTGGGTCCTGGGACCCCTGGCTACTGCCCCTCCGCTGGGCACCGGGGACCCTGGCCTCCCAGACAGAGGGGCTGACCTTTGACCTCTGGAGGCAGGAGAGGGGGGACTTTCGCCTGGAATCTTCTAGTTACAAATAACAGTCCGACTGGCTTAGGCAGAAAACCATGGGGGGGCGGGGCTGGTATTTTTTTTTTAATATATTATTGATTTCAGAGAGGAAGGGAGAGGGAGGGAGAGATACAAACATCAGTGATGAGAGAGAGTCACGGATCGGCTGCCTCCTGCACGCCCACCTACCGGGGGTGGAGCCTGGAATCGGGCCTGTGCCCTGACTGGGAATCGAACTGTGACCTCCTGGTTCATAGGTCGACGCTCACCCACTGACCACGCCGGCCGGGCTGCACTGGTCCAATTAGAAATGCAAATCGGGGACTCGGGTCCCGCTGGATCCAGGGGCTGGAGTGATGCCAGGGCCTGTCTGTCTGTCTGTCTGTCTCCCAGTCGGTGAGGCCTCGGGGGCCGGGGAGGGCAGGCAGCTGACAGGTCTCTTTTGTGTCCACTCAGGTGTCCCATGACTTTGCCATCAATTTCAACCCCGAGGACGACGAGTGTGAAG